CATTGTTGAGCCCTACTTTCTCAGTTCAAAATCCATCATATTTTTTTGACAGTGCATATTCCTTTTTTTTTTTTTTTTACTAATTGATATGATATTTTTGGTTTTGGCAGGAGTCAGACCTCACCTTTCGACTGGCTGGTGGGCTTGTTATTTGGCAGCCAATGTGGGAGCATCGTCAACCTGATGTTCCTGCTTTTTATGCCCTTGTCAAACCCATGCGTAATATTGTTACAGGTCCGATTTCTTAATTTCACCTCTATCCTCAACATCAATGTCATTCCGTTTTACCCTTGTCATTGTTCTTTGTGTGTGCAAATCGTTTATGTTTCAAACATCTGCTTTCCGCCTCTCTCATATTCTCCACAGCAAAGAGGAATTCTCCAGTTAATAACCAGTGTAGTCCTCATGATACCAGTAACCCATGCCCTGCAGTGAGTATTCAGACTGTGATTTGCAGCCGCACAGCCCCTTGTGGCTCATTCAGTCCAGGCTTAAATTAATTTCCCCTCGTAGTGCATTAACATCATTGTTCTGGTGGGGTCATGTGATTTCCTCTTCTGTCTCGGCTTTCAGGTGGTGTGTGAATCAGCCCTGCCTGACTCCTCCTCCCCCTCAGTGACAGGACAGGGCTGTCGTCGTGGCAACTCTGTGGAGAAGGGAGGGTCTTCACAGCAGGCCTTTGAGCGAGGATTTTCACAACAGAAGAAGTGAGTGTTTTTTACACACAGGTGGAACACAAACCAGGACTATCATGTCATTCTGTGTTGAAATATAGGGGGGGAAATCATCAGTATTTAATAAAAAACAATCGAATTTCTGAGTGTGTACAATAAAAAATGTACAATAAGATTCAATGTTCTGGGTTAATACCTGCATGGGTTAATGTTCATCAATTAGTTAATACGTTAGCTATCATGAAAAAATGATAATTAAAAAATACTTTTTTTCAGCAATTTTTATTCTTAATGTTACTTCCTACATATACAAATACAGTTTTCACATATTTCATTCTATAGATGAACATAGTTAAGTATGAACGAACATTAATTGCCAATAATACATTTAGAAATATGAATATTAATATATTATAAATAAAAAAATATGCATTTATAAATTAAGATGAACAGATGAATAAATTAATAGTAAATAGTAGTATAATAATGATGTATAAAAATAATACAATTTACTTAAAAATAATAATTTTAATATCATTTTTGCACCTGAAAGGGAAACCCCTACAAATGCATACAAGGTCAGCCACACAAATAACCCTGTCCACTCCTTTTCAGAGCTAATTTTTCACTGCGTGTTTTTAGTAAATCCTGACAGTAGTTTTTTAAAGCCAAATCTGGCCCTTTTAACGTTATTGTAATGTTGGCAAAAAAGTAAAAAAAAAAAAACATTATAATCTTTTAAAACTAGAATGATCTTAAAGTAGTTTTTTTTAAAACTCATCCTATGTTGGCTAGATAAAGAGCGTCCATTTCCAGCCAGACTCCCATCTGTCACCGTGTTAGTCTGTGCATGTGATCGCAGTGCAGTTGCCAAGCAACGCTTCTCAGCAACCTCAGTCTGAACTTCCATTTTTTTCTCACCATCATTTTCTGTAATAACCTCTCTGTCTTTCTTTCACCGAAAGTTTCTCAGTCCCGAGTGGCATCTCTGTGTCGCAGCGGGCAAGGTATGCCACCTATTTTGACGTTGCAGTGCTGCGTTGCTTGATGCAGCCTCACTGGACAGAAGAAGGTGTGCACTGGGCCCTCATATTCTACTTGCAGCGGCTGCGTCAGATACTGCAGGAGAAGCCTGAACGCCCCCCCGAGCCCCTGATACCCCCCTTACCACGGCCCCGCAGTAGCTCCATGGTGGCTGCTACCCCATCTTTGGTCAATACTCACAAAACACAGGTAACCCAGCACACGTCATTTAGCCGACTGTGAGACAGTTTCAGATGGTAATTGGCAGTGGTACAACTGGGACAAGTCAAGGGTGTGAAATACATTGCATGATCATCAATTAATTTGAATTGATAAAACGATTTTACCATAACATTTGCATAAAATTAATCAAATACATTCCATAGATATGAGAACAGCAGTGTTGTTGTGGAATTCTATACACTGTTAGTTAAGTGGAAACCATGTAACTGTCATTAGAGATGTAGAGATATTAAAAGGGTGCTTTATTATGATTACACTTTTTTAACGTCAGTTAGTGTGTAATGTTCCTGTTTCAGCATAAACAACATCTGCAAAGGCACAACGCTCAAAGTTCAAAGCAAAGGAAGATATTTGCTTTTAAAGAAATCATTTTTAAGGACTAAAACAAACGGCTGGTAGGGACTACATGACATTCCTCCTGGGTTCGTGACATCACTTAACCTAAAATTTACATAAACCCTGCCTCCGGGAACATGCAGTCCATGTTGAGAAGAGGAAGAGTTGTTGTAGTACAGCACATTTGTGAGTCTGCTCTCAAGTTGTCGCATCCGTCTTTTCACAAGCAATGCAGTACGTAACACAAATGCAATAGCATGTCACTCTGACTGTATGCATCTTACAACAGTTCCTTCACGAGCGATTTATAGATTATCATGAAAGTATATGCTAATCAATGACTTTCCATTCAGAAACTTCATGTTGCATTTTACATGTTGTCACTTCTTCTTGAGTCTCTCCATCATCGTCCGACTCCAGTTTAAACATAAAAGGCAGAACAGTTTCTGGCATTTTAGTGTGTGTCTGAGTGAGGTAATCGGATCTGCTCATTGCATTTAAAGGGACACACACAAAACAACGTGTTTTTACTGACCCTCAAAAATGGAAAATTTTAACATGCTGTAAAAAAATATTTTGAGCTAAAACTTGATGCACACTCTGGGGACAACAGAGACTTATTTTACTTATTGTAAATATACCACCCCTTTAAATTTCTGGCCGATATTGATTTATATAAGTAGATTACTAGTTTTATGCTATGGTCGATATTAAATAAATGGATGATATAAAAATTCCATCTAGGTTTGTCTGAATAAATTTAAAATAATAACTAAAAAAAGTGTTCCTATAGGCCCGTACACACCGGGACGAATATCATCGGGCGTTATTCAACTCGTTTTTTGTGTTCACACCCAAGTGATTTTCGCTGACAATGAGCTGAGTGAACATGCAAATTCATTCTCTGACATTAGATGGCGCTTAATGTAAAACAGAAATAATAATAGTATACTATACTATTATTACAGAAATATCTCTTTCTAGCTCTTTTTCCTCCGAGACCAGCAGCTCAACATTCACCTTGCCCGTAGATATCTTGCCTTGCATCTTCTTCGTCTTCCGGCAGTGTAGACGGTGGCGTATCTTCTTCGCCATTACGTATGTGTGCTCGGAAAGACCATTTTGTGTTTGAGCGCCCCCAAGTTGTATTTTACTGTAACTTCAGAAGCACCAGACACCTGAGCAAAAGCGTCAATCTCATTGGTCAGATAGTTTTTGACGTGGCGCGTCAAACCAAATAAACTAACCCGAGGCGTTTTTTAAAAAATTACGCTTTTACGCGTGGCGTTTTTCACTTCGGTGTGCACACTCACATTGGCGCCCTTTGTTTAGTCACAAGGTATTAAAGGAATTGTTCCTTTGAAATTAATTTTTGATATGTTTTAGCTTACCTCAAGGGCATCCGAGATGTAGGTGTCTTTGTTTCCACAGTATTTTCAATTTTGACATTTTTCAGTCAAACCGTTGTTGTCTATCAGTCATACACTGGAGGCTAAGGGGGTTCACCAAAAAGCATGCACAGAGAAGTTAAAATTAAACATGATTTAATGACTTGTAAATGTAAATACACATTGATGGCCTAAGACACCAAACGAGCGGTTTTTGTGAGAAAACGAACAGTATTTATATCGTTTTTACCTCTTGTAATCACAGTGGTGTCCAAGTGATCTGAATCAGTTGTTCAATGTCCAACTGAACCGAACTGAATCAGTTCAATGTTACGCCGGAAGTGATCGCTTGCGTGTGACGTCACTTAATATTTACACGGAGATTTCGGAAGTTTTACCTTTTACTAAACATATTTAGAAATCAAAATCGTCTTCAATTGCGGTTTCCCGTATATCTAAATATGTTTAGTGAAAGATAAAACTTCCAAAATCTCTGTATAAACAAAGGGTGACGTAGGCGTGCAAGCAATCACTTCAAGCGCATGCGCAGACCGAAGCGCCCGTGCCGTCAGATCATTTTGTCATGGCTATGATTACAAGAGGTAAAAACGATATAAATACTGTTCGTTTTCTCACACAAACCGCTCGTTTCGTGTCTTAGGCCATCAATGTGTACTTACATTTACGAGTCATTAAATCATGTTTAATTTTGACTTGTCTGTGCATGCTTTTTGGTGGACCCCCTTAGCCTCCAATGTATGACTGATAGACAACAACGGTTTGACTGAAAAATGTGGAAACAAAGACACCTACATCTTGGATGCCATTGAGGTAAGCTAAAACATATCAAAAATTAATTTCAAAGTGAACTATCCCTTTAAACGTCGGCGACTATCGCGCGCAAAATTCGCCCCGGTGTTAACAGGCCTTAACAATTGATCTTTAAAAACACTGATGATGAAATAACACTGTTAAAACTAAGTTTAAGTGAGTGTTAAATGACGACAAAGGCAATCTAAATAAAAATATAGTCTACAATTAAATATCTAAGATCAGATGATATTGGTCCAATATTGATCCATACTGATAAATGAAAAAAGGTTTCAGGTATCGTACCGATAATATTCAGTTATTAATTTACAATCTTTGCAAGGATATCATCACTGCAACAAGGATTTGAATAATCAACGCAATCGTTTTCCGATATCTACATGCGCATGTGAAAGCTGTACACTCAAGAAGGTGGACAAAAGTAAAATTGACACTTTTTAAATATGGTGTGTTACGACCACAGGGCTCATACAGCGATCGCAACATAAAAGTGGAGACCACACGGATTACTATATTTAACAAGGAATGTTTATTTAACATGATATAGAAGTGTATCAGTAAATGGCATGGTTAACCAAAGGTGTAGGGTAGATCAGTAGAATGAAACGGGTAGGGAGAGGAGAAAAGTGCGATGAGCAAGGCAACCGCCCAGTCGCCCAGACCGACGGCCCGGAGAGGAAAGAGACCCGCCAGCTCCCGGAAAGCCTCTTTTAACCAGCCAGCCTACAGCTCCACCTGTAGGACTGAAACAGACAAACAGACGGCAACCATCAAACACAGACAAACACAAGCTGTACAATAACACGGCAAAGCCAGTCATGACAGGTGTTGGAGGCAAATGCTGTGCATACAATGGACATCAAAGGTCACAAAGTGAGTCAAACCAAAATATCACTGGAAGGCAAAATCACCAAGCAGCAGCTCTCATTTGCTCATATCGTGCAAGCTAATTCCTCTTGGCATAGTCAGTTTGATGAGAAGATAAGGACACCAAAGAACATGCTGGCTGGACATAATCAAGGCACACACAAATATGTCGGTGAAAATTGCTTTATGATTGTCAAAGATCATAAAGCATGGAGAATGATGATTCATAAAGTTACCGAAAGCCGGCCACGATTGGACGGTTAAATCATCAAGCAGACAGTATACTGTACCAATACTCTAATGACTAGTAGTTGACATGTACAGTAGCTGCCAAGTTACCTATAGTTAGTAGAATCTCTAAAGTAGACTATTAAAATAAAGTGTTATCCAATATTTTAACCATAATTAGGTTAAAGGTTATAAAAAACCTTTCAAACCTGCAGTTCTGGCCCAAAACGATTTTAACCTGATTTTTCCTTCCTATTTTTCTAAGGATATGACTCTGAAATGTAACGAGGAGAGCAGGTCTTTGAGCTCTGAGACCTTCACCAAGGTGTCCATTACTAACCTCAGGAGACAAGCAGTCCCTGATCTATCAGCTGAGATGGGCATGAACATATTTAAAAAGGTTTGCAGATTATTTTATTTATGCATAGTTTAAGAGCGTAAACCAATATGTGTATATATATATTTAACAAACCCCCTTTTAACATCCTAGTTTTCTATGAGGGATACATTGGCTTGAAAGCTAAACATTTTTCTAACCACTTATTAATATAACATGTACTCAGTTCCTGTTTGCCTGTGTGGTTTGTCTTCATGGTCATTGATTAAGCAGGTGTTTCTTGTTACATTAACAATCTGTGTGTGTGTATATAATCCCTCAGCACAAACATTGACAACATGGAACAAAGAACAGAGTGAACTAAGTGGTTGTTGCGTTAATGCTCCTGTTTGTTCTCTTTAATTAACAAAAGACTACTTTTGACTACTCGTATGTCGTGTGCTTCCTTGATATACTGTAGCTACACGAGTGACAGTTTTATCCTGTCTCTGCTTTTTTCAGTTGAAGAACCGTAGAGAAGATCGGGAGAGAAAAGGCTCTATCCCATTCCATCATACTGGGAAAAAACGGCAGCGTCGGATGGGTGTACCTTTCCTAATGCATGAGGATCACCTGGACGTCTCACCCACACGCAGCACCTTCTCGTTCGGAAGCTTCTCTGGACTGGGAGATGACCGTCGCACGCTGGACCGCGGGGGTTGGCCTTCCACCATCATGGGTATGTTGGGCCCTATGAAACCCGTTATTACTTTTCATCAATAAGCATGAATTCATAAAACTTTAACATTTTAGTATTGTCACATAATTAAACATATTCAGTCCCTCCAGAAAAACGCGATTATGCGATCGCTGAATTCAATGCAAAATCAGCCAAAGTCCGCATATTTATGCGGGAGCCGCATTTTTTCAAATACGCCGCACTTTCACCGCATAAATTGCCGATTTCCGTGCAAAATATGCGGGGTTTGCATAATTTCATAATCCTCGTATTTTCGTTGCAAAAAAAAGTCACATGTATCTTAGAAGAAAGTTGAAAAATGTTGCGTTTGCTTCACATAAGAGCAGCCATTTCCACCTGTTTCCATGGGAACGTTATGAAGTGACGCAATTACGCGACGCCAGACAGACTCACGGAGGCGATTGACATCTCACAAATCGAACTCGTATAACTGTCTGTCGAACGTTCTACTGTCACATCGTTACTTAATAAACAACATAAGATAAAAGTAGCAGCATCAAACAGAAATTACCCGCACACATGGGGTGTTCGAGGCGCACATATAACACCGCAGAGAGTTCAACAGGGAGCGCGCAGCTCTTAAAGGGGCCACACCTTATTTACACTCTTACAGTGACTGAAATAAAACAAGATGAGAAATTAAATATTCCCAGCACTTTCTATGATGTAGTATGCTTGTTTATCAAAGGAAGTAATAAGAAATGACTCTTATATTAACAGGATGTTGGGGGAATCACTTTTTTCTCTTTTTCATCAAACCGCAATTTTTGCAAGTTCCCTCAATTTTTGAAAATTCCAGCAATTTCATGGCATAAAATTGCATAAATATCCCACATATTCCATCGCATTTTTAAAGAAAACTGGCCGCATAATCGATCAATTTTTGCCCGCAACAATCACAAAAAAACTCCGCGTTTTTCTGGAAGGACTGAATACTATTATGGTAAATGTTAAATATAAATCACAAATTTTTGGAAATTACCACCACAAAATCAGTCATTTTGATCGCAAAAAACGTGAAATCCTGGAGGGACTGCATATTGTCATATTGCTCTGTTTTGTTGTGTTGCAGGGAAGTTAACACGTCGTGGAAGCTCAGATACTACTGGAGATGTGGACAGTCTTGGAGCGAAACATTTTCACTCCCACCATAACCTGCCTGAACACTCTAACAGTCACAGTGACAATACCATCAAAGAGGGTGGTAAGCAAATAAGCACTATCACACTATTAGTTCCTAATAAACAGTTAGTATTTGATAAAATTCATTAAGAATCATAAAATACAACGTAAGTTTTTTTCTTTTTTGAAGCTACAAAGTGGCGCTAGGGGATCCATGGAACATTTCAAAGAAAAGTTGTATTTTTTTTGTGAAAGGCGCTATACAAATAAATAATTATTTTGAAATAAAATTATACAGATAATATTAAACACTGATTTTAGCTTTAGAATAATGACAGCAAACGGCAAATATTTTGGGTTTTAATATCAAACCTACTATTACCCTAACAGTATTAAGTCTTTACACAAACACTCAAAATTCCTATATTTTTTTAATCAAATTATTTGCAACCTCCTGAAACGGAACATGACTTGACCACTATGCTCTGTGGTGCCTTTTTTAAAAGCATAAATTCAACATATTTGATAAAATAATAATGCATACAAAATGCAAAAGTATACAGTCCAAGTCCAATCCTACAGTCCAATCCTGCAACTTTAAAGTTTATGTTAGTTTGATTAGGCTAAGTAAGAGGCCACATTGTGACATATGATTCTTCTATTGGTCTCACATCTTCATGTGATTCAAATTCAAAGGGTTCACCAAACGTTCTCTCGCATGCATATGCACAAGAATTGAATTCAATGGAACAAAAAGTGTAGTGTGACTGCCTCTTTATTCAGTAATGTGGACTGATGGTCGTCTTTTTTTCTCAGTTCGTTCTCAGATCTCCACTATCACTATGGCTACATTTAACACAACTGTGGCTTCCTTTAATGTGGGATACACAGATTTCTTCACGGAGCACATAAAGAAACTGTGTAACCCCATTCCCATCCCTGAGATGCCATGTGAGCCGTTGGCCTGCTCCAACCTTCCCCGAAGTCTGACAGACTCCTGCATCAACTACACATCCCTGGAGGACCGAGACACCATTGAGGGCACCAACAACTTCATTCTAAAAAATGGAATGCTGGACCTCATGGTAAGGAGTGGAGCCTTGAGCAGAGGGGTTTACTGTCATTGAGTGACAGAGTTGCGTATACTGTACTCTATCGGTAAAATGTTTGTAATAATTATTTTTTAAAGGTGTTTTTAAAGGAAGTCTCTCATGCTCACCAAGGCTGCATTTATTTGACCAAACATACAGTGAAATAACAGTTGTCTACTTTAATATATAGTAATATGTAATACATTTTTAGCATCATTACTCCAGTCTTTAGTGTCACAAGATCCTTCAGAAAGCATTCTACTATTCTGATTTGGTGTTCAATTATTTATAATGGTTCTCATTATTATCAATGTTGAAAAGAGATTTGCTGCTTAATATTTTTGTGGAAAACATGTTTTTTTTCTGGATTTTTTGATAAATAGATATTTCAATACGCTGTATTTATTTATTTTTTCATTCCTTTCAGGTTTGATAAATTGAATCTCAAACTCAAACCTTTAAATGGTAGTGTATCACTGTCTCCACACTGATAATAATAATAAAATATGTTTATTGAGCTCCAAATCAGTATACTAGAATGATTTCTTAAGGATCATGTGACTGAAGACTGGAGTAATGCCTGCTGAAAATTTTGATTTGCCATCACAGTTTAGCCTGGGTTTCCCCATACTGCCTTTGCGCAGTGCAATTTTATTCACGCTGCTTGGCAGTCTGGATACCATAGACCGAATTTTCGCCTCAGCAAGGGGACCAATCACAGAACAGAGAGGGAGCAGCAAGACGATGATGACGTCTATGCGACACACCGAAGCAGTTTGTTTATACCTATGGATCAAATATGGCATCATACGTGAAGTTACCTTTCGATGCAGCCTTAGATATTGTTCTAAGTAGTTTAGAACGCAAATAAATCTCTGACCCTTCATCTTCTTCCTCGTCTAATTTCTTTTGCTCTACATACATCATCTGGTATAATTAAAGCGATTTGCTATGAGCTACGTACAGGCGCATTTGATAGACATTCATAGCACCCAATAAACGGCTTCGTAAACCAGGCCTCAAATACGAGAAAATGAACATGTGGTGCCCAGACCACGTCTAAATGTCAATGCAACGTGGTCTGATGTTAGCCAGGCTAATCACAGGTATAAAATGAGGTATTAAAGGTGCAGTGTGTAGATTTTAGCGGCATCTAGCAGTTCGGTTGCGACATATCGTCATCTGAGAAAGCAGAGAATAGCCAGAGTAAGCCAAGTTTCTGTACCACAGTCCATTATAAACCACATCACGGATAAAGTTTACAAAGTTAACAGGCATTACTGTTTTACGGTCCGTCGTACTAATCAGCTCATTGTCAAAGCCATAACACAGCGAGGGAAAAGAACTAAGTTACATGAAACAATCCAACTACATATTTTACACCACTGACATGACAGGGGAAATGTCACTACTCACGGTGTTTATGGCTTCTCTTGCAAGGTAGTGACGAAATGCAATCTGTAGTGCTGTTTGTTCGCTGTCTGCTATGGTAGGGGATTCCAGTGGTTATGTAGATATAAATGTCTCATTCTAAGGTAATAAAAACATAACTGTTCATTGAGTAAGGTCTTTATACACCACTGAGCACATAGTTATGGATCTTATATTGCATTTCTGTCAACAGATCCTCAGAAATATTACACATTGCACCTTTAAAATAGAAGATGGATATTTTAAACTTTGATAATATTTCACAATATATCTTCTAATAATAAGAAAATGTAGCCTTGGTGAGCATAAGACACTTCTTTCAAAAACATTAATAAAATCTTAAATATTCAAAACTTTTAACTGGGTAATGTTATGAATGGCCATTAAATTCTGAGGAAAATTCGATTATTTTAGATATAGTTTAAAAGATCTGACCATATGATTCATATTATTAGTAGTGTTTTACCACTGTGGTGTTTTTCAAGGCTGTTCTACGGGCCCTGTATTCCGTACTCACCCATGACATCAGCTCTCGGATTTGTGATGTGGCGCTCAACATCATCGACTGCCTTCTGCAGCTGGGCGTGGTTCCCAGCATGAGTAAGAAATTCTCCAAACCCGAGGACAAAGAGGCGGAGTGTCCGAAGGAGGGAGCCAGTCAGAGTTTGGGTGGAGCTCAGGGGGAGGCGGCTGGAGGCACAGGACCAGCACCTAATGGAGGTGGTGGAGGTGATGGAGGAGGAGGGGGAGGAGAGAGTCGTGGAGGAAGCAGAGATGATATAAAGAACAACAAGGTAAGCCTATTAATATATCTGCGGTAATTGTCACATGCAAGATTTGCATTTTTTTATATCATCAACAGGATGAAGAAACTTCACTCAGCACTCACAGGTTGGCTCTCACCATGCTTATTAAGATCGTAAAATCGCTCGGCTGCGCGTACGGCTGTGGTGAAGGCCATCGCGGACTCTCTGGAGACCGCCTTCGAATGCAGGTCTATATAGCTGTGCAATCAAAATATCATTTTACAGTGCAGATTAACCCTTATTTTTCAAGAAGATTAAGCACTGACCTCTGTCACACAGCAATATGTTGATTTACTGTCAGACTAAGTCATATGGTCAGACGATATATCGAGGGCTTGGAGCCAGAGGGGGTAAGTGGCATTTTGGGCGAATATGAGTTACCTATCTGAGATCAAACTATTGAATAAAGCAACAAATAGGCGTATTTGACTTATTTGACTTTTTTTTTTGTTGAAAAAGTTTTATAACATGTTCATTGTGTTAATATGACATACATTTATTACTTAAATATTAATTTCATGTAAGTATGCCTGTGGTTGCAATGTTTGTGGTTTAAGGTTAATAATACAGGTGATTGTAGCGTGGTCAAAATTTTGTTTTGTCTCTCCTGTAAAGTTTGTTAAAAGGCACTTACGCCCTTCTGGCTCCAAGCCCTCAATATATTTCATTATATACAGTATGTAGTATGCATTATATTACGTTTGTTTGTAGCAATTATTTGACATGATTAAATAACTAGCTCTGTCTCCAACAAAGGTAATTGATTAGAAGCTCTGTCCTGTTTCTTTAGGCTCAGAACTGTTTGACTACTCTGTACAAGCTGGATAAAGTGCAGTTCCGGCAGACTATGAAAGAATACGTTAACAAGGATTCACTCAACAACATTGTGGATTTCCTGCACGCCCTACTTGGCTTCTGCATGGAGCCAATCACTGACAGTAAGAGGGCAGAGCTGCACTTATTAAGTGTATGTCTTTAACATGCCCAGGCTTATGTTTTATTCTGAAATCTCCAGATATACAGCATGGGCCCCATTTTCATGCATCAGAATTTTGTCTTTTCCTAAAAAAGAGATGAACTTGAATATTTGCAATTTGATTATTAAATGGTGTATTGAACTTTTATTTAAAACTATGAATGCAGTAAAATTATAAGTTTTACATTAAGATAACACTACCCATCAACATTTTTGAATATTTTTTTTATATATTTTCTTGAAAGAAGTCTCTTATGCTATTTTTTATTGATGTTGTTTAAAAAATAGAGTAAAAACTGTAATATTGTGAAATATTACTAAAAATGTTCTAGAATGCATTTTATTTCTTGCGATGACACTCCAGCCTTCAATGTCTCACGATCCTTCAGAAATCATTATAATATGTTGATTTGGTGCTTATTTATTTAATATGCTTATTATTAAAGGATAGTTCACCTCAAAATTCAAATTTCCTGATAATTTACTCACCCCAATGCCATCCAAGATGTTCATGTCTTTCTTTCTTTAGTGGAAAAAAAAATTTTTTTTGAGGAAAACATCTCAGGATTTTTCTCCACACAATGAACGTTGGAAACGTCACGCATCACGTCATCTATCCAAGTTATTTGTCTGTGTACTCCGGTTCGAAAATGGCAGGGAACGGCGAAAAATTTAATATTATTACCCATAATTTTTTTTTTTCAAATTGTGACATTTCCAACGTGATGACGTAATGCATGGTGTGTCACCGACCAGCACAAGACAAACAATTGTGGCTAAAAATTATATAAATGATTTTTTTTTTTTTTTTTTTTTTTTTAGAAAATGGCCGATCGTTTAACTAGATAAGAGCCTGTTCCTCAGCTGGGAATGTGCAGAGCCGTTTGAAGCACTTCATAGCCCTTTGAAACTGCATTGATTTGGACTTCAACATGTAGGTTGCAATTGAAGTCCATTGTGTGAAGAAAAATCCTGAAATGTTTTCCTCAAAAAACGTAATTTCTTTTCCACTGAAGAAAGAAAGACATGAACGTCTTAGATGGCATTTGGGTGAGTAAATTATCAGGAAATTTTCATTCTGAGGTGAACTAATCCTTTAATGTTTAAAAAGTTCAATAAATATTCTAGCAAGGACAGGAAAGGGAAACTCATATAATTCAACCATAAGGGGAAACAAAGGGCTTAAATTAATGGAGATAACGAGGGAAATAATGAACAGCAGGTGAATTATGTAACTAAGGAAACAAACTAGCAAACAGAACTCACTCTAATAGGGACAGGGAACTCAATGGAAACTAAACCAAAACACAGCTCATCATAACCCTGACCAATACTTGACCATGGCAGCATACTTTTTCTTCCAAAACACCAGTAGTAACTTGTAATTGAGCAAGAGTGCAGTAAGAGTGTTTCTGAAAGCACATCACAAAATGTATACTAAGGACAGAAAACAATACTATGTGACAAATAAGCATCAACTGAGCTGCATTTATCACCGAGAGGTGAAGTACTTTTCAGTTTATTTTTCGAATAGCGTAGTCCGTAAATAACCTTGAAGTGAACGAGACCGTGTCTAGAATTGGAGTGTTCATTAATATCCTTTAAATTACTCTGCCAAGTTTCCTCAGGTTTGAGAAATGTCCCTTCCCAGCTCTTTCTCCCATTGCTCTAATGGGTTGCAACATGTTATATAAAACTAATGACTCAATTTTACTTCATTTACACCGATCAAAACACTTGTCAATAATTAAAGGGTGATGTATTATCCAAAGAATGTCTATGAGCATGTATATAATTCCTAATCAATAAGAACCATTATTAATAATTAACAAGTGTATTGGAATGGTTTCTGAAGGATCATGTGAAACTGAAGACTGCTAAAAGTAATGACTGATGAAAATTCAGCTGTGTAATACAGGAATGAATTGCAATTAAAATAGAAAACAGATGTAATAATATATCACAATACATACTGTTTTTTTCTAAACAAACAAATGCAGCCTTGGTAAACATAAGAGACTTCTTTCAAATACCAAAAGAAAAAAATAATAAATTTGAGTGAATTCAGAATACATATTCATGGCTATCTGAAATACTTGATTCCAATTGGTCACTGAGCTGTGAAATATTTTTGTATAATAACCACTTAGCTGTATATTTGACTGTTGTCGATGGCAAGATAGCGGTGCTACTTTCATGTCTCTTGTATAACTTCAGCGTTTTCATACCAACACAGCTTAGAATTGCTCATTGTTGCCATCTTGCAACTCAAAACTGGAAGACATACAGTGAGGAAAATGAGTATTTGAACACCCTGCTATTTTGCAAGTTCTCCCACTTAGAAATCATGGAGGGGTCTTAAATTGTCATCGTAGGTGCATGTCCACTGTGAGAGACATAATCTAAAAAAAAAAATCCAGAAATCACAATGTATGATTTTTTTTTTAACTATTTATTTGTATGATACAGTTGCAAATAAGTATTTGAACACCTGAGAAAATCAATGGTAATATGGTACAGTAGCTTTTGTTTGCAATTACAGAGGTCAAACGTTTCTTGTAGTTTTTCACCAAGTTTGCACGCACTACAGGAGATATTTTGGCCCACTCCTCTACACAGATCTTCTCTAGCTCAGTCAGGTTTCTGGGCTGTCACTGAGAAACACAGAGTTTGAGCTCCCTCCACAGATTCTCTATTTGGTTTAGGTCTGGAGACTGGCTAGGCCATGCCAGAACCTTGATATGCATCTTACAGAGACACTCATTGGTTATCCTGGCTGTGTGCTTCGGGTCATTGTCATGTTGGAAGACCAAGCCTCGATCCATCTTCAATGCTCTAACTGAGGGAAGGAGGTTGTTCCCCAAAATCTCGCAATACATGGCCCTGCTCATCCTCTCCTTAATACAGTGAAGTCGCCCTGTCCCATGTGCAGAAAAAACACCCCCAAAGCATGATGCTACCACCCCTATGCTTCACAATAGGGATGGTGTTCTTGGGATGGTACTCATCATTCTTCTTCCTCCAAACACGATTAGTGGAATTATGACCAAAAACTATTTTGGTCTCATCTGACCATATGACTTTCTCATGATGACTCCTCTGGATCACCCAAATGGTCATTGGCAAACTTAAGACGGGCCTTGACATGTGCTGGTTTAAGCAGGTGAACCTTCATGATTTCAAACCATTACGTCTTAGTGTATTACCAACAGTAACCTTGGAAACCGTGGTCCCAGCTCTTTTCAGGTCATTGACCAGCTCCTCACGTGTAGTTCTGGGCTGATTTCTCACCTTTGTTAGAATCATTGAGAGCCCACGAGGTGAGATCTTGCATGGAGCCCCAGTCTGAGGGAGATTGACAGTCATGTTTAGCTTCTTCCATTTTCTAATGATTGCTCCAACAGTGGACCTTTTTTCACCAAACTGCTGGGCAATTTCCCCGTTGGCCTTTCCAGCCTTGTGGAGGTGTAGAATTTTGTCTCTAGTGTCTTTGGACAGCTCTTTGGTCTTGGCCATGTTAGTAGTTGGATTCTTACTGATTGTATGGGGTGGACAGGTGGACATGCATCTAATTTAGGATAATAAATGGAGTGGAGGTGGACATTTAAAAGGCAGACTAATAGGTCTTTGAGGGTCAGAATTCTAGCTGATAGACAGGTGTTCAAATACTTATTTGCAGCTGTATCATACAAATAAATAGTTTAAAAAAATCATACATTGTGATTTCTGGATTTTTTATATATATATATATATATATATATATATATTATGTCTCTCACAGAAGGCATGCACTTACC